TGATTCCCTAGCCTCTTCAACCTTTCCTTATCACTAAAATTCTCCATTCCTGACAATGTTCTTGTGTATCTTTTCTGTCCCAAATGTGATCACATTATTCAAGTGATGTGGTGACCAACCTTGTACACGGTACTTTAGCTCTGGTTTAATTCATGTTTTGCACATTCTTAGCATAATCCCCCTTGCTCTTGTACTCAAGGCTTCACCAAATAAAGAAGAAAAACAATTGCTTTTCTGCAGCACTGTTCACAACGACCAGATGTCCCAAAATGCTTTATGTCAATTCAGATCTAAGCTTATTGGGGAAATAGAACTTGAGACTCCTTTTCCTAGTGGATAGAGTTTATTGACTACTCAGTCATATAGCTCATTGCACTGTGTAGTCACTGTTGTAGGGTTGGAGGAGAACGAAATAATTCCACAGAGGCCCGGTATCCTATCACCAAGTTACCTGTTATTTACCCACAAAGAGTCCTTGACTCTGGCACAGACTCTTCAGAGTCAGCTCTCAGAGTGCCAGTGTCTCTGAGATTCCTATTTATATCTCTCAGCCAGGGCTTCCTGTTTGGACCAGGTTAGCAGCCCCAATCAGGGAACCCATATTCTATGAGGTCTCATATTTTATGAGAGTCTCCTGCATACTTTCTTAACCACCTTATCTACTGACCTTCAGAGACCTTTGGACAAGCAATCCAAGTTCACTCTGTTCCTCTGCACTTTTCACTTACTGTGAATTCCTTTGCCATGTTTACCTTTCTCAAACATACTACCTCACACTTCTCTGGATTGAATTCCATTTGTTAGCACCTGAAGCCAAACCTCTGAACCATTGATTGTAAACACAGCGCTGACTCTAATTCTCACCGTAACTCGCAAGGTGTAGTCCAACTCGGCTGTGTTACCAGCTGTCACTCGGAGGCAGGAAACAAGAGTCTGGGAATCCGAGATGGATGTCACTCGGAGGCAGGAAATAAGAGTCTGGGAATCCGAGATGGATGTCAGAACCCAGGATCTTGAGCATCTGGGATTGATAATGATTGGGGGGAAGCCGGAAGAGCTTCATCTTTTGTTTCTAGATTCTGCTGCCTGGAAGAGTAGTGCCTGGAAAGTCAATATCCTCTCCCTTAACATGCCTTGTGATGATACTTCTGGAATATTCCCTTGTGTCATGGACCAGACCAGACCCCCTCAAAATATTTTAAGAAGGTAGCCTAGACCCTAACTTATTTTAAAGGGTAGATGTGAAGTGCCGTGTTCCAAATGTGATGCAACTGGTCAAACTACTCAATGTTAAGCAAAGCACAATTTAGTTAAAATACAAACAAAAGAATCTAGCACAACTTAACTGTTGGAAAACTTATCAGAATAATAGATACAGTACCCATTACTAATTAACTGTTCCAATATAGTAAGATCCCATAAACACACCCCTTGCCAAGAAGGTAAATTCAGACACAGATTCACAAGCCAGGAGGAAACAGCATCAAGAGAGATTTCAGAGAAGGTGGCATAGGGAATCATTTTACTGAAGCTCCAACTCTTCTGGGACCCCAAACAACCTCTAACTGCTACAGATAAAAAAAAAACTAGGAACCCTGGTCTGTGAGAACTGACCACTGCCCTTCCATTGTTACAACTATTTCAAAAAACAACATAAAGTTCTCCTAAATTGTTTACTTAGGCTATCTCCAGTAGCCAGTTTTTTTTACCCCTGACTTTACAACCTCTCTTCAAAAAACACCCAGGACAAAATAACCTTTCTAAAGTGATAGCATCATCACACTCGGGATTCCCTGGTTAAACAGTGACCCCAGACAACTCTGGATCATTTCTCCCCAAGATGACAATTCTAGAACATGCGCCCCTCCCACCAGCTGCTGGTTCTTGAATATTCCTCCCCAGGCTGCCTGTTCCAGAACATTCTCTCAGGCTGCCTGTTCTAGAGCTAACATTTCTGGAGCATTCATCTCACCCAGGAGTAGGTGATGGCCTAGTGGTGTTCTTACTGGACTGTTAATCCAGTGACCTGGCTAACATTCTAGGGACCTGGGTTCAAATCCCACCATGGCAGATGGTGGAATTTGAATTCAATAAATGTCTGGAATTAACAATGACCATGAGTCCGTTGTTGATTGTTGTGGAAAAACCTACTCACTAATGTCCTTTAGGGAAGGAAACTGCCACCCTTACCTGGTCTGGCCTACATGTGACTCCAGCCCCACAGCAATGTGGTTGACTCTGAACTGCCCTCTGGGCAATAAATGCTGCCTGGTCAATTTCGCCCTCATCCTGTGAGTGAATAAAAAAACGGTATCTGACTCTACTACCACTGTTGGCAGTGCATTCCACACACCTATCACTGTCTGTGATAAATGCTGCCTGGTCAGCGACACCCTCATCCTATGAATGAATAAACATAAAGGACCTGTTGCTCCAAGTTATGATTTGAGTGTTCAGATTTGGATCTTCCATGTAGCTGACGATCCTTGTTCTCTTTCTGTTCTCTGCCTCACACTCTCTAGGTGGCCTAATCACGAGAAACAAATTGGGGATTTGGCAAAGCGGCTCGGGTTCAAACACATCTCGCTGTCCTCGGAGGTGATGCCCATGATCCGTGCTGTCCCTCGTGGTTACACAGCCTGTGCTGATGCCTATCTGACACCATGCATTAAGAAATACCTCAATGGGTTCAGTGCAGGATTCCAGGACAGTCTCAAAGTAAGGGGGTTATTTTGCAAAAAAAACGTTCTTTTCTAGATATCAGTTTACAGAAAATCTGTTAAAACTTCTCGTGATCCCCCAGTATTGACCATGTGTGTGTACGAATGTGGTTTTACTTGTGTGTGTGCATGTGAGTGAGCATCTGTACACGCATGGAGCACGGTGACTTCGTGTTCATGTTACTGAATTAACATTAATTCAGGGGCTCAGGCTAATGTACCTGAGAAATAAGATTTAATTCCACTTTGGCAGTTTGGAAATTTAAATCTGATTAATGAGAAATAACCTGGAATATAAAGTTAGCCTCAGTAATAGTGATTGTGAAACTACCAGATTATTCTGAGGTAGAGTCACTGGACCTGAAACGTTAACTCTGACTTTTTTCTTTACAGATGCTGCCAGACCTGCTGAGCTTTGCCAGCAACTTCTGTTTTTGTTTCGATTTTTATATTGTAATAATAAAGTCTGGTTCACAAGGGCCTTTTAGGGAGGGAAATCTGCCATGTCATTCATGATGCCATCTGAAATGGCCCAGCAAGTCATTCAGTTGTATTCCTAAAGCTGGCTCATTACCAATTTCTAGAGGGCAATGACAACTGAGCTGACCAGGAATTCTCCAAGCCTGTGAATGAATAAAAACAATACGCATGTACGTAGTGGGAGTGTGTGGGAATGTGGAGATAGTAGTGAGAATATTTGGGTGGTTATGAAAATCTACAAAGTGTGAGTGTGTGTGAGAATGTGTGAGTCTGTACAGAAATGCACGCACCTCTGTGGTGTTGTGACCTGAGCTGATTGAAATAACTCCACAGAGGCCGGAATCCTGTCACCAAGTTAGCCTTTATTTACGCACGACAGCCCTTGACCCTGCAGCCTCTTCAGTGTCGGCTCTCAGCATTTCTGACATTCCCTTTTTATCTGTCAGCCAGGGCTCCCTGATTGGACCAGATTAACAGCCCCAATCAGGGAACTCATGTTCTTTGAGGTCCAGATGACTGACCTCGTGACAATCACTAGTGATGTTATTCCTGGACAGGCTGGACCTCACCATGTAACCTGGCGTCATTGATCCTAACTTTGTTCTTTTTAACTGTGGAAGTCAGTTGCTGAACACTTTCACAAGAGGCTGCCACTGTACCTTTAACACATTAACAAAACAAAAAACGTTGGAAAAATTTTGGTGCAGCTATCAGGAATGGATTCAAATTCCTATTCCTTCTATCCCAGCAATATCCTTATAAACACTCAAACCTTAGTGATGAGCTACCACTCTCTCTACACTGAGGCTTTTTGCTTAGACTCTGGATGGTACAGCTGCAACCAGTTTCCTTTTGGTGAATTTCTGTGCGGTCCCTTGATGTTTTATCCCTCTATCTGGTATCTCTCCTCAAGACACCTTAAACAAACAGTCAACTGAAATAAACTATTGCATTATTTTCAGACTAACTATGTGAGGTCCCAAAACATAGTGGCCAGCAGACCTTCACTCTCTCTGGGTTGCTTGACCTTTGTCGTTGACTTCCTGTTAGTAAGCCACAGCACTGTGCTTTTCCTCCACCTTTTATACTGCGATGAACTGTTCACCTCAAAGGTTTGAGACCTCATTAAAATTCATGCAACCAAAACAGACCTCCAGATCTCTCATTACCAAACCACAAGAACGCTCAAAAATGAAACTAAACTATGTCTGCTGTTTCTTAACACACAAAATATAAACTCAGCTTAAAGTTATGCACTGTTCTTAACAGTAGGATTGTGTGAGTGACTGTGGGAATGTGCAGGAAGGCTGGCGTTACTGAGCTGCAACTGTAATCTACTACAGGGAGGGTACCCATTCTCACAAGGGAGAGTAAAGAACCGGAGAAAGAGTTAGTAATCTGGGATGTCTCCCAGTGACTGACCGTTGCTGGTGGAGGAACCTGTGTTCCTGCTCAGCAACATCCATGTGGATAATGTGGGAAAGCACTCTGTGTTAGTTTAGGACAAAGTGTAGATTCCTTTGGCACTCTCAACGCCGATGCTGTTTCACTCTAGGATGTCCGGGTGTTGTTCATGCAGTCTGATGGTGGGCTAACGCCGATGGAGCGGTTCAGTGGGTCTAGGGCTATCCTCTCAGGTCCAGCAGGAGGTGTGGTTGGCTACGCACTCACCACATGCACAGGCGGCTGTACAAGACCGGTCATCGGCTTCGACATGGGCGGTGAGTGACCACCTTCCTACCCTTCAATCTCCGGCTGAGGAGCAACAGCACCTTCTCATTTTGGGATCACAGCGCCCCTGTCCCCCATCCCAGATGATGGTGACATTCCATCCAGGGAAAATTCACCACCCTTCCCAACGTGTGTGCACGCACACAGATGCACACACACACCATTGTCAAACCCTCTCACTGGTGACTCCTCCTCCTCCCCTCCATCCCCCCGCCCCCCCCCCCCCCACCCCATAGTATCATGTTCCCCTTCCGGAGTGACATCTGCCCAAAGACATTCTATCCCACCCTTTGATTCCAACGAATGTCCCCCAAACCCCCCTCAAGGGAAAATAAACCATTTCCTCCCTCCAATTCCAAAAGAGACATACTACACCTCCCCCTTGAGGTAAATTCCGCCGTCTCCCTCCCCTAACCTCGGATTTTGCTTGTCATTTACCGTGCCTCATGAGCCTCCAAAACCGCACCCCCTCCCCGCCCCAACCAGGCTGATCTGATATTGTCTGCCCCCCTCCCCACAAACAGCATTTGCTTGCACTGTTCAATGGAACATTATCAGGCCTTCCCCTGGCCCCATTATCAGATTATCCCGTGTACCCTTAAACCCCTTCCCTTGACAGTGGGAGAGAAGTGCTGCAAGTCATCCTCAACTGGATGGGGGTGGGGGGACGTGGTGTTGGTGGGTGCTTGCTTTCCTTCACCTCCACCTGACCCAGTCAACTTCCAGTCACCAACGCTGCACCCCGTCTGATTCCAGGCACATCGACAGATGTGAGCCGCTATGCAGGGGAGTATGAGCACGTGTTCGAGGCTACAACCGCAGGAATTACCATCCAGGCCCCTCAGCTCGATGTCAACACTGTGGCAGCCGGTGGGGGCTCCATCCTCTCCTTCAGGTGAGCCGGGCTTCAGTGTTAACCTTCAGCTCTGCAGCAGCTGACCCTGGGTTCACTCCTGTTCCCATGGGCCAGCTCTGTGTTTTTTATGGTGTCTGATTGGGACAATTTATGGTATAATGGTAATGTCCCAACAGCAGCTGGAGGAATCTACGCAAATAAATGTGGAATAAGGAGACAGTCCCAGTGATGGTGACCATGAGATGCGCTTCGATAGTTGTAAAAACCCAATCACATTTACTAATGTTCATCAGGGAAGGAAATCTGCCCTCCTTACCTGGTCTGGCCTACATGGCCCACCGCAAAGTGGTTGGATCTTGACTGCCTCTGAAATAACCTTAGCAAGACACTCAGTTCAGGGGCAGGTAGGGGTGAGCATAAAATTGGCCATGCCATATTCCATTAAATAACTTCTTAAGAAGTCCCAACTATTGGATGAGAGGTGCTTCAGGTTAACAATTATAGTGGAGTTTATTGGGAAATGAAAAGGTAATTATTTGGGAAGTGAGGACATTGGGAATATTCCCTGACTGGGGGATATGGCAAGTGATGTTCATAAGGAACTGGTCTGTGCTATCACTCTCTATTCAGTTTATCATTCTTGACCTAACAAGGTAGATGAAGGAATGTGGGACTGACATTTGAAGTTTGGAACTGGAGGGTTATGAGATGTCAAGAAGAGAATTCACAGAGAGTACTGTTACAAAGTTGGATAGAGTACTTCTGGATTGGAAGGCAGGATGTTAGAATTTGGTGTTTGTAGAATGCTGGGGGAGAAAGCATTGCGTGGTCCCTTTAAAAGATGATGTGCTTTTTCTGTGCTTAGAGATTTAAAATGAATGACTGTGAGCAGCAGCTTAAATGTTTACAAGTATACAGAGTGCACCCAAATTGAAACATTTGTATTGGGAGGCCATGCAGTTTGCAGGCCAACCAGCAGATTTTACCAAGACAACAAGCTTTAGTATTTAGCCAATCAATTTGAACCAGACACTAGGTACCAAAAATCAATTAAATTTAAATCTGGATGGTTTTGACAACATAGGACCAATCCTATTGTAAGAATTATTGATATGTCATCAAGGGTATAATAGAAGGGGGCAGTTAGACAAAGTCCCAGAGATAACTGCCATCCGCCAGAGCCAACGGCCCTCAGCTCTCAAGAGAGAATCACTGGCTCTCACAGACTCCTCTATGTCTTAGAGAAAGCACCATCTAAATAACAAAGGTACCCATAGCATAACTAGTTAATATTCCTGACGGAAGAATCGATGGAGAAGGCATAGAACATTCTGGAAGACATGTCACCTGCCTGTACATTTCTTTAATTTTATTTTATATAAGGGTGACTTGTATTTATTGGAACAGCATAGCATTAGAATCTTGCTTTGTTCGGAATAGTTAGTAGTTAGAAGGGTTTATTCGGTTTGTCAGTAGTTTAGTTAATTTGTTCCCTGTTAGAGTTAGATAAATAAATTGTTGATTGTAAAGTGAGTGTCGGGGATTTATTTTATTTAACCACTAGAAGTTGCTGAAAGGCAGGTTACACTACTTTTTACATCCCTTTTACAGATTATAGGGCAAGGCACTCCTCTTTAGTTGTATTAGTTTTAGTTCTTGGTTGGGTGGGGTGGGGTGAACCCCTGCTTCGTAACACTGCGTAGATTGTTGGGACCCAGGGCTACATCTTGGGCCCTAAGTATGGTGGGCCTCTTCTGGGCCAGCAGCAGAGCTGGGCAGCTCCTGGGGGAAAGCACTCACTTTAGTAAATACATGGAATGGCTAAACTTGAGGATGAATGAGAAGCAAAGAGAGAGGAGTGCAGATAGCTCTTAACAATTGTGGAGTTGGAGGAGATTTCAGAGATAGAGAGGGGTGAGGATATGGAGGGTTTTTTTTAAACAATGTCATTTACAAGAAAGTGGTCCATATTGGAGTGAAAGCACAAGGAATATTATAAAACTGTGTGTGTACCTACGAATGTGTTTCATTGTGTCTGTTAATTAGGGGAGTGAGCCACATCAGTGACTTGCAGTCCCAAGAACGGGAGTCACTGTCAGACTTTAACTTGCTGCTTTTCTGACACATTATTCTGTTCCAGGTCTGGACTGTTTGTCGTTGGTCCGGGATCAGCCGGAGCTCATCCGGGCCCCACCTGTTATCGGAAAGGTCAGTAATGGGCTGCGAGCAAAATCTCGCAACTGTATCCATCATCATGGAAATATTCACACGTTCACTTCAAATGCTGGGATCAACCTGTATGTTGTAGCACTTATCCTGTAACCCATTCCATCACTGGAAAAGGCAGATGAGCAAAGGCTGCACTCTGTTCGCAACAAATGACAACACCTTCCAATCACAAACCATTTCAACTCCCCCTCCCACTCCCTGGGCGACATGTCCATCCTGGGCCTCCTCCAGTGTCACAATGACACCACCCGGAAACTGGAGGAGCAGCAACTCATATTCCGCTTCAGGAGCCTATAGCCCAATGGTCTCAATGTGGACTTTACCAGTTTCAAAATCTCCCCACCCCCGCCTTCATCCCATGACCAACTCTCCCTCTCATCCCCACCTCCTTGACCTGACACAACCTGTCCATCTTCTCTCCCACCTATCCGCCCCCCCACCTCACTGACCAGTCCCCACCACTGCTTACCTGCACTCATCTATAACCATCCCACCTACCTTCCCCAGGCCCACCCTTCCTCTCTATTTATTTAAGAGCTCCCTTCCCCCTCCCCCATTTCTGAAGTAGGGTCCCGACCCGAAACGTCAGCTTTCCTGCTCCCATGATGCTGCCTGACCTGCTTTGTTCCTCCAGCTCCACACTGTGTTATCTCTGACTCCAGCATCGGCAGTTCTTACTATCTCCGAACAAAGGTTAGCCCAGATGAGGAGTTCACAGAATGTTTTCAGGCTTGTTTCTTAGAACAACATGTTCTGTAGCCAACCAGAGAGCAGCGTATACCAGACCTGATAGGAATAAGGATTGATTAATTAGTAAACACATAGTGAAGGTGCCCTTCATAGCTGTGTTCAGCGTATGATTTACATTCACTTTAAGGAACGCAAGAGTAGAGATAAGACTAGTATTTTAAACTTAAAACAAAGGCAGTTATGAGGAGAAAGGTGGTGAACTAGGAATCTAGAATCCTGGTTTGGGACATTGTTTGAATCCTACAATGCAGATGATTAAATTTGAATTGGAATAAAATGCTAATCTAGTGGTGACCATGGAACCACTGTCAGTTGTCCCAAAAACATCCTCTGTCTTTCATTATTGTCCTTCAGGGAAGGAAATCTGCCATCCTTACCTGCTCTGGTCAACATGTGACTCCAAACTCACAGCAAATTACTTGACTCTTAACTACCCTCTGGGCAATTAGGGATGGCAATAAATTCCAGCTTATTCAGTGGCAGCCAAAAGCCTAAATGATTTATTTTAACTGAAGGCAGAGCTAACTAAAGTAATCTGGCAAATAAGGTTAAGAAATAGGTTGTTAGAGATATAGTGGCAGATTTTTAAGGGGATATTTCAGATTACATGGAATACGTACATTCCAAAAAGTGAGAAATGAATCCAAGGGGTGAACTTCCAATTTGTGGTAAACCATGAAAGTTAAAGGTAGTGTCAAACTTAAAGGGAAAGTTCTGAAGAAGGGTCCAGACCCGAAACGTCAGCTTTCCTGCTGCTCTGATGCTGCTTGGCCTGTTGTGTTCATCCAGCTCCACACAATGTTATCTCTTAAAGAGAAAGCATGTGTTTCGACAAAGATGGGGGAGGGGGGGGTTGCGGGGGCAGTAAGAAGATAGGACAGAATACAGAAGGCAAGTAAAGATTGATTAAAAGATTAATGAGGAGGGAATAATTAGAGTGTGAGAGAAAACTAGCTAGAAATATAAAAACAGTAAAACATTTTCTCAATATTTACACTTTAACAATTAGCAAAGTGAGCTTTGGGCCTATAGAGAGTGAGTGTAGGGAATTAATAATGGAAAAATAAAGTGCCCGGGTCCCAATGGACATAGAGTTATAGAGTCATACAGCATGGAAACAGACTGTTAGGTCCAACTAGTCAACCATGGTCCCAAACTCAACTGGTCCCATTTGCCTCCATTTGGCCCATATCCCTCCAAACCTTTCCTATTTTTGTACCTGTCCAAATGTCTTTTAAATGTTGTAACTGTCTACAAAATCATGAGTGGTATAGACAGGGTGGATAGCAAGAAGCTTTTTCCCAGAGTAGGGGACTCACTTACTAGGGGTCACGATTTCAAGGTGAGAGGGAAAAGGTTTAAGGGAGATATGCGTGGAAAGTTCTTTACGCAGAGGGTGGTGGGTGCCTGGAACGCGTTGCCAGTGGAGGTGGTAGAGGCGGGCACGATAGTGTCATTTAAGATGTATCTAGACAGATACATGAATGGGCAGGGAGCAGAGGGATACAGATCCTTGGAAAATAGGCGACAGGTTTAGATAGAGGATCTGGATCGGCGCAGGCTTGGAGGGCCGAAGGGCCTGTTCCTATGCTGTAATTTTCTTTGCTCTTTGTACCTGCAACTATCACTTCCTCTGGCAGTTCACTTCCTCTGTGTGAAAATGTTGCCCCTCAGGTCCCTTTTAAGTCTTTCTCCTTTCACCTTAAAAATATGCTGTACAGTTTTGAATACTCCGACCCCAGGGAAAAGACCTTTGCTATTTACCTTATCTATGCCCCTCATGATTTTATAAAGCTCTATAAGGTCAGCCCTCAACTTCCTATGTGTCAGTGAGAAAGGTCCCAGCCTCCATCATCCTAGGGATATAGGGAAGTGGCTAGTGAGACAGTTGATGTGTAGAAATTCCCAGATTCATAGAAGGTTCCATTAGCTTGGAAATTAGTGAATGTAACATCTTTATTCAAACAGGGAGGCGCAGAAGATAACAATATAGTTCTGAAGATGAATCACCAGACTTGAAGTAACAAAGAACAAAGAAGATTACATCTCAGGAACAGCCCCTTCGGCCCTCCAAGCCTGCACCGACATGCTGCCCATCACAACTAAACCCTGCTAACATTCCGGGGACTGTATCCCTCCAGTCCCATCCTATTCCTGTATTTCTCAAGACACCCTTTAAAAGTCAATATAGTATGTACTTCCACTACCACCTTGCTGCATTTATACAAGGTCTTGGTGAGACCACACCTTGAGTATTCTGTGCAGTTTTGGTCCCCTAGTCTGAGGAAGGACATTCTTGCTATTGAGGAAATCCAGCGAAGGTTCACCAGACTGATTCCCGGGATGGCAGGACTGACATATGAGGAAAGACTGGATTGACTGGGCTTGTTTTCACTAGAATTTAGAAAAATGAGGGGGAATCTCATAGAAACATACAAAATCCTAATGGGACTGGACAGGCTACGTATGGGAAGAATGTTCCTGATATTGGGGAAGTCCAGAACTAGGTGTCGCAGTCTAAGAATAAGGGGTAAGCTATTCAGGATTGGGATGAGGAAGAATTTCTTCACGCGGAGAATTGTGAACCTGTGGAATTCTTTCCCACAGAAAGGTGTTGGGGCCAGTGCATTAGATAGATTCAAGAGGGAGCTGGACGTGACCCTTGCAGTGAAAGGGATTAAGGGGTACGGAGAGAAAGCGAGAATGGGATACTGAGATTGTGTGATCCGCCATGATCGTATTGAACGGTGGTGCAGGCTCGAAGGGCTGAATGGCCTACTCCTGCACCCATTTTCTACATTTCTATGTTACCTTTGTCTTAAAAACATTGCATTCACTGCGATTGAGGAAGGAAATTCCAAGGACACTCAACCTTCTGAGAGAAATAAAAGTTTCCCCATCTCTTGTCTTAAATGGGCCATTTTGAAACGGTGAGCCCTAACTGTAGGTTCTCCCATAAGAAGCAACATCTCTATTTATCCCGTTAAAACCCCACAGGTTATCAAATGGTTCCATTAAATCACCTCTTACTCTTCTAAACTCCAGAAAATATTGGCTCAGCCTGTCTTGCCTTTGCTCATAAGGGCAATCCATTCATTCCAAGCATTAGTTTAATAAACCTTCTCTGAACTGCTTCCAACACATTAACATCTGTAAGTACAGTGACCAGTACTATACACAGCACTCCAGCTACAGTCTCACCAATGTGGAGTAATCTGATCCGTTATGACCTTATTGAATGGTGGAGCAGGCTAGAGGAGCCATAGCTAATTTTATTCCTTCAAGTACTTATTGCTAATTCACATGATTGTAAATAGGAAAAGAGAGAGCCTGGAGAGGATTGAGTAGGAAACCTTTTGCTTTCAGCCCAAGCTGCTGAACACGTCATGAATATCCTACTGTAATAAAAACAGAAATTGCAGGGAAAACTCAGCAGGTCTGGCAGTATCTGTGGAGAGAAAGCAGAGTTTTCCCAGCAATTACTGTTTTCGTTTCTGATTTCCAGCGTCTGCAGAGCTTTAGTTTTGTTTTTGAACATCCTGCTTTGATGCATTGCACTGTTTAATCTGGCCCCTCTGGTCTTATTGGTTTCTCAGGAGGCCCACTTACCATCACTGATGCCAATCTTTGCCTCGGGCGACTGCTGCCAGATTATTTTCCCAAAATCTTCGGTCCCTCAGAGGACCAGCCGCTGTGGAAGGAAGGGGCTCTGAATGAGTTGCGGAAAGTTACGGAACAGGTCAATGCCTTTCTCTGTGACCAAGGCGATGAGGAGAAAGAATGTAGCCAAACACAGATGACTCTGGAAGAAGTTGCTCTGGGATTTGTCCGGGTGGCCAACGAGTCAATGTGTCGACCAATCAGAGCTCTAACTCAGGTACATCATGGCTTATTCGGATGGTGGTGAAACGAGAACAGGTACGCAGTGAGAGTAGATAGATCCGACTGTACAGGTACATCCATACAGGTTAGTTACAGTCCCACCCTAACCGGGCCCCAGGTCTGTAGCTTGGCCTTTAGCGCCTAGCTTATAAACCCAGAGCCAAAGCTGCTCGAGCTGTCAGCACGTACTGCAGGCATGTTTATCCTGGATCTCATTGGCATCCAGGAGTCACCACATTTCATTTCACACCCACATTTCATTTCATTTCGCAACACGTCATGTGTGTTTTAATTGACTACTTAATTATTTTGTTCAGTCATTTATTTTTATTTGATTAACCTCACCACCAGTTCCTGTTATATTTTATGCTTTGAATTGACCTGAATCACTTTGTACAAAATCCTACTTAAGTAATCAGATATTTAAGTGTTGTGAATTGTTACATTTTACAAAATACAGATCTTTCATTTACATACTTTACCAACAGCCAATCACTAGTTTCTTTTTATAACTGCTTAATATTTTAATAATTACCCCCAGGAAATCAAAAATACTGACCTGCTGCTCTCTGATATTGCTCTTTATCTGCCAAAGATCTCCAGCCTTGGTTCAAACTGCTGTCTCCTGATGTGCCTCTGCTAATGATCCCCACTCTCTGTTTAAACTTAAACTGGAGGAGCACCAATATCCTGGCAGGGAGGTTTTCTGGTGCCACTCGGGAGGGTTAAACTAATGTGGCAGTCGGTCAACATGTGGAGTGATTGAGGAGAAGGTAGAGATTAAGTGTAATGGGAAGAACAGGCAGGACCAGATTAATGAACACGGTGGGACTGACAGTCTGAAATGTATTTATTTTAGTGCAAGGTGTATAACAAGTAAAATGAGTTTAGAGATAGTAGGAACTGCAGATGCTGGAGAATCTGCGATATACAAGGTGTAGAGCTGGATGAACAGCTCATTTGACCCTCTGATGCTGCTTGGCCTGCTGTGTTCATCCAGCTCTACACCTTGTATATCTCAAAATGAGTTTAGAGCCTGGATTAGTACTTGGAATTACGATGTTACAGCCATCACAGAAACTTGTTTAAGAGAAGGACAGGACTAGTCGTTCAATGTTCCAGGGTTTAGATGTTTCAGGCCTGATAGAGAGGGATGAAAAAAAGGGGTGGGTGAGTTGCATTACTGATTAAGGAGAATGCCACAGCTGTACTAAGAGGGGACATCCTGGAGGGCTCATCCAGCAAGGCCGAATGGGTAGGACTCAGGAATGAGAAAAGTGCGCTCAGGATGATGGAGTTATACTGTAGGCCTCCCAATAGCCAGTGGGAAACAGAGGAACAGTTACATAAACAGATCATGGAAAGATGTTAAAACAACAGGGTTGTCGTGCTGGGTTGGGGTTTTAACTTTCCCAACCGTGACTGGGACTCCCTTAGTGCCAGGGACTTGGGTGGGGCAGAATTTGTTAGGTGTATCTGAGAGTGTTTCTGGAAACAATATGTGGACAGTCCAACAACAAAAACTGAAGTTGCTGGAGAAGCTCAGCAGGTCTGGCAGCATCTGTGTTTCAGGTCCAGTGACCCTTCCTCAGAACCTTCTGATTTTTTTCTTCGCGAATGCTGCCAGACCTGCTGAGCTTTCCAAGCAACTTCAGTTTTTGTTCCTGAGTATCAATATGTGCAGTTCTTTTGGTTTTTTTATAGACAGTCCAACATGGGAAAAGCCATACTAGACCTTGTATTGGTGAATGAACCTGGCTGGGAGATGAAAGTTACAGTGGGGGAGCAATTTGGTAACAGTGATCATAATTGTCTCCCTCCTATAAGAAAGATGTTGTTAAACTTGAAAGGGTTCAGGAGAGATTTACAAGAATGTTGCCAGGGTTATAGGGTTTGAGTTATAGGGAGAGGCTGAATAGGCTGGGGCTATTTTCCTTGGAGTGTCAGAAGGCTGAAGGTGACCTTATAGATGTTCAAGAACAGCTTCTTCCCTGGCGTTATTAGACTGCTGAATGGACTATCTAACTTCAAATGGTGATCTTGCTTTGTGCACCTTCTGTGCAGTGTAACCTTGTATGCCTCATTGTGTCTAAGCTCCCTATGATCGGCCTGTGCTGCTTGCAAAACAAAGCTTTCTACTGTACTTGGGCACGTGTGATGACAATAATTCAAATCAAATCAATATAAAATCATGAGGGGCATGTATAGGGTGAGAGCCAAGGTCTTTTTCCCAGGATAGGGGAGTCCAAAACTAAACGGCATAGGTTTAAGGTGAGAGCGGAAAGATATAAAAGGGACCTGAGGGGCAACTTTTTCACACAGACTGTGGTGCATGTATGGAATGAGCTGCCAAAGGAAGTGGTGGAGGCTGGTACAATTACAACATTTCAAAGGCATCTGAACGGCTATATGAATAGGAAGGGTTTAGAGGGATATGGGCCAAATGCTGGCAAATGGGACTAGGTCAGTTTAGGATATCAGGTTGATGCAGACAAGTTGGACTGAAGGGCCTGTTTCCATTCTGTGCAGGTCTATGACTCTATAAATCCTTAAGTTTTAAGATAGTTATGGATAAGGACAAAGCTGGTCCTTGATTGAAAGTGCTAAATTGGGTGAAGGCTAATTACAACAGTATTAGGTAGGAACTGGAGAAATTAGATTGGGGTCAGCTGTTTGAGGGTAAATCCACATCTGACATGTGGGAGCCTTTTAAAGGCAGTTTCACAGTGTGCTCGTATGAGGATGAAAGATGAGAATGGCAAGATTCAGGAGCCCTGGATGATAAGAGATATTGATAGTTTAGTCACAAAGGAAAAGAAAGCAATTATAATCTCAGGAAACTGAAATCAGAGGAATTTGAATCCTTGAGGAATATTAAAGAAGCAGGAAAGAACTCAAACAAGTAATTAGGAGGCCTAAAGGGGGGCATGATGCCCTTGGTGAGTAGGATTAAGGAGAATCCCAAGGCATTTTAGAGGTAAATTAGGAGCAAGAGGGTAACTAGGGATAGGGTAGGTCCACTCCAGGACAGAGGAGGGAACTTATGTGTGGAGCCAGAGGAAGTGGGTAGGGTCCTTAATGAGTGCCTCACATTGGTATTCATCAAGGAGAAAGACATGGATGGAAGCAAGATTAGGGAGGGCTGCGGTAATATTCTGGGGCATATTGATATTAAGAAGGAGGAAATGTTGGGTGCTTCGAAAAACAATAAGGTAGCTAAGATTTCTGAAGAAGGGTCCTGACCTGAAACGTCAGCTTTCCTGTTCCTCTGATGCTGCCTGGCCTGCTGTGTTCCTCCAGCTCCACACTGTGTTATTAAGGTAGCTATGTTCCCAGGTCCCGATGGGATCTAATCCAGGATACTGAAGGACACAAGGAAGGAGATTGCTAGGGCTTGACAGAGATCTTTGTATCCTGGTTAGCCACTGGTGAGGTCCCAGAAGACTGGAGAATAGCCAATGTTGTTCCTTTGTTTAAGAAGGGCAGCAGGGGTAATCCAGGTAATTACAGGCTAATGTGCCTTACATCAGTGGGAGGGAAATTATTGGAGAAGATTCTTAAGGATAGGATTTACCCACATTTGGAAAAGAATGGACTTCTTAGGGACAGTCAGCATGGCGTTGTGTGGGGGAGGTCTTGACTAACAAATTTCATTGAGTTGTTTGACGAAATGGTGAATGTGATTGATTAGGGTAAGGCAGTGGATATAGTCTACATGGACTTTACTAAAGTATTGGACAAGGTCCCTCAGGGTAGGTTGGTCCAGAAGATTAAATCACGTGGGATCCACAGTGAGTTGGTAAATTGGATACAAAATTGGCTTGGTCATAGCAGACAGAGGGTAGTTGTGGAGGGGTATTTTTCTGACTGTATGGTTGTGACCAGTGGTGTCCCACTAGGATCATTGCTGGGACCTCTGTTCTTCATAATATATACAAATGTTTTGGATGAACATATGGGTGGGCTGATTAGTAGATTTTGTAGATGATTTGCAGATGACGCAAAAATTGGTGAAGTTGTGGATGTTGCCTGAATTGGAATGTGTTAGCCAATAAGGAGACAGTGTACAAATTTGGCTGAGGGGTGACCTGAATAAAATGTGGTAAAATTATGAGAGGCATGGGTAGGGTTGATAGTCAAATCTTTTTTTACCAGAGTGGAAATATCAAATATTAGGGGACATAGTTTTAAAATGAGAGAGGGGAACTTTAAAGAAGATATGCGAGGTAAGTTATTTTACACAGAGGGTGGTAGGTACCCTGAACAGACTGCCAGGGGGGGTGATAGAATCAGGTAGAATAACGACATTTAAGAGGCATTTAGACAGACACATGAACAGGCAGAGAATAGAGGGATATGATCCATGTGCAGGCAGATGGGATTAGTTTAGAATGACATTATGGTCAGTGCAGGAATGGTGGTCCGAAGGGCCTGTTCCTGTGCTGTACTGTTTTGTGTTTTGAGCTGTCTCCTGATGCATCTTTGCTGGTGATCCCCGCTCTGTTTAAACTGCTCTTCCCTGATGTGTCCCCCGCTGTGTGGCTGATTTTATACCTCACTCCACTTTGCTGCTGAGTGTGGCATGGAGTGTGGCACTGTCTCTTAATATCCTTCATTTTCAAAAAGACTACGTCACTTGTGTGTGGGAGTCACACAGATATCTTTGATCATTTTCACTTGGGCTGTCTTCAGACGCACCTGAAGATCAGGCGCCAGGAGAAAACACCAGTGTTTGCAGTGCCCACCTAAGCTGGCATGCTAATTTTTTTTGTACTCATTCACAGGATGAGGGCATCGCTGGCCATACCAGCATTTATTGCCCATTCCTAATTGCCCAGAGGGCAGTTCAGGGTCAACCACCCTGAATTACTGTGGGTCTGCAGTCACATGTAGGCCAGACCAGGTAAGGATGGCAGTTTCCTTCCCTAAAGGGCATTAGTGACCCAGATGGGTTTTTCCGACAATTGACAATGGATTCACAATCATCGTTAGACTCTTAATTCCAGATACTTATTGAATTCAAATTCCTCCATCTGCTGTGGCGGGATTCAAACCTGAGTCCCCAGAACATTATCTGGGTCTCTGGATTAACAGTCCAGCGATAATACCCTGTAATGCTCCATGCCACATTCAGCCAGTCTCAACTGAGCTGGGCTGGACCTGTGACCAGAGTGGCCGACTCTCACTCACCAAAGCGATTCTTCAAAGGGGAGCTTGAGTCTGGCTTGGCCTTCCATTGCTGTCGAAGGGATCACTGTAAGGTCATCCTGAAGACTTTGCTTAGGATTCTTGATGTCAAGCCAGCACCTTGGGAGAAGCTGGCCCAGGCCCATTGCATCTGGTGCAACAAGAAAAGAAGATGCAGCCTCCTTCAAAAGCAAATGCACACCGGAGAGAAAACACGAGGTGAGGAAATCCTGAAGCATTGGCTCTATCATCCGCAATATCCTGTCCTATTCACTGTGAAACCCTGTGGTTCTGAGCACAGATTGGCCTTTGCAGTCACCTACATACTCACCAGAACATGACCAAACACCCCAGATGATGAGACAACATAGTATGGAGCTGGAGGAAC